CCCCACAGGGAGCGGGGCCTGAGGTGCAGGGTGGGAGGCTGTCTGGGACCCGCGAGCGGAGTGGCCAGTGAGAAGGAAGGGGACCATGGAGCTGGGGAGCTGAGCTGGAGGGGCTGAGGCTCAGGCTAAGAACGGCCCCTCTAGGAAGATGGCCCCCCTGGACCAGCGGTTTTCAGCCTGTTGATCTCATGGGACATCAACGACTAAAATGCTGCTGCGCCAGAAAATGTATTTTTTGTCAGTCTGACAAAAAGGGGAGGGGGTATAATTTTGATTCATTCATACTAGGTGGCTGTTGCTGTGTTGGCTCTTGTCATTTTTTGGACAACTTTTGAAAGGAAAGCGGGTCAGGTATTGCATGCTGTAAAAATCCTTGGGGCACACCAGTTGGGAATCGCCAACGGAGACCCTGAACAGGCTTGGGAAGTGGGCGGGGTCTGAAGTAGGGACAGGAGCCTGGTTTGTAGAGTTGGGGATGCCAGGGGACCACCCACGTGCAGTGCAAAGATCACCACCGGACAATGGACCCTGGAGCCAGGGCTGGAGTCAGGGGTTCAGGGCGCTCTCTGCAGAGCTGAAGGATTAAAACCGGGGTGGGGGGGGGGAGGATCTAAAAGGACCACCCCAAGAAACATGGTTGGGGGGGGTTCCCTTGAATGAAAAAAAATCAAGTGATGTTTAACAGGAAAAAGTCCTTCACATCTGGGATTGGCATTGGCTGCATTTTGACACTTACAGCTGAGCTCATGGGTGTCAGGAAAGTTACCCTACCCACGGGGACTAGGTCCGGGGTGCCTCGCCTGGGCTGATGCTGGCGTTCATGTTCGCCTTTCATAGCAACCCCGTCCCTCCGACAGGTGCTGGCTTCCCACGTAGGGTGTTTTTGCTCATTTCTCTGGCGAAGTGTAAGCAGCGCTCGTCTTCATTATAAGGAAGCAGAATTGGAAGCTGCAGCGTTTGGTTCACTGGAGCAGTGTTTTCTTTTAACCTGAGGGTGACCCAGGGGAGCCTCCCCACCCCCACCCGGGAGCGTGTGTATGGCCGGCAGCTCAGGGGGGTCACACCCTCAGTGTACCATCTGAGGGACGCCGAAAACGCCTGCGGGCTGCCCCCCGGATTCTCCAGTTTGGAGTCTTTTCCGAAGGAAGAGAGCATAAAATTATATTGCCCTCCGTGCTCTCCCTGCTAGCAAGTAGGAAGTTCCGACGGTTTCATAACGCGGCCCATTCACAATTCCCCATTGAGATGTAGAGGCAGGTCGCCTCCTATGAATACACAAAGACACTATTGTGGTCAGGAGTGAGCTGGCGCAGGGAACACAATTCTTTTTAGACTAAAAAAAATTTTTTTTCTTAAGAAAGCTAACAAGTAGGTGATGGAAACAATGAATAAAAAATAACTTTTTCTAGAACATACAAGTAACTTTCAGGGACCATTGAAATGTAAGTTTAGGATCCAGGCCATTTCGCAGAGGCCCTAGTTGCACAATCGCCCTGTTGAAAGCTCAGATGTCGATGGTGAGGGATGGTGAGGAGCCGACAGGCGGTAATTACTAGCCCTTGGCCTGCGGACAGGTGGGGGCTGGGCTCGACCGCCTCGCCTCGCCCTGCCATGGGGCGCAGCCTCCACCCCTGGGCTCCGCCGCTGGGCTCCTTCCCAGCGGGATTTCACTCCGAATCGCAGACGCTTTCCTGGGGTCTTGCCAGCGCTTGCAGGGGGCCTGACAGTGTTTCCTAAAAACTGGTTTTCAAATTGTTCCGTAGCTTCACTTGATTCCGGTGAAGGAGGGGAAAACACGCTGCATTTCAATGATCTAAACACCAAACCTCCAGTAACTTCCAGTGACTAAATGATGGTTTTTCCTCTTCTCTAAAGAGACTGACTAAAGAGAACTGATGCTTCCCTATCTGAAATACTATTTTTAACCCGTTTAACCCTCGGCCTGAGATTTAAGTATTTCAGATGGACCGAAACGTTATCTCTCGTTCCTTTTCTGTGGAAAAAACAAACCCTATGCCACGTACAGTCTCCTGAGACGGATGGCAACAGGAGATGGTAGGATGCAGTCACTCGCCGAGCTCCTGCTGTCGAACACAGCCTGTGATCTGAGCTCACCGTCAGCTGGGAGGTGACAGCTCTGTCCCTAAAACAAAACAAAATAGCCTGTGTGCCCCCTCCCGCCCCAGCCCTGGCACACCCGCTCTCCGTGGGCATGCACGCTTTCAGGGAGCATCTGAGCGCAGTCTAGGGGGTACGCACACAGCTCCAAGTGGCCAGTGCTCCACACACCAGTTAGGCCTTGAGCCGCAGATTCTCTGAAGACAGAGCCCAGATAGGGCCACAGCGTCAGCATTGGTGCTGTAGTGAACGTTTAGAAGCGGCTGTGGGCCCGGCCAGTGGCCTGGTGACAGTGCCATCCTGTGCCCTGAAAGGTCGCTGGTTTGATTCCCGGTCAGGCATGGAGGTCACTGGTTTGATTCCCGGTCGGGGCATGGAGGTTGCAGGTTTGATACCCAGTCGGGGTACATACCAGAGGCAGCCGGTAGATGTTTCTCTCTCCCACACTCCCTTCCTCTCTCCCTTGAAAAAAAGGCCTGAGGGAAGGGACAGGATCCCTGAAAGCTGAGGAATTACTAGATGAAGGAGAAGACTTCCCAGCCTGGTGCCCATGGCTTGCAGCGAGGCCCGCAGAGAAGAGAATGTGAAGAATGCACAGGAAGGGGAAGCTGTCCAGGCCGCCCGAAGCCGGCCAACTTGCAGAACCTGATTTCACGGGATAGTGGACATCAGTGTCTTCCTCTGTTCCTTTATTCCCGAACAAGTCCCCACTGGAGGGTGTGTCTTCCTGGGCCAACCCTGAGATACAGAACCAAGTCAGCCCTGGCTGTGGGCTGGCGAGGCGCACGTGGACCCGTCGTCTGACCGAGGCGTGGGCTTCGTGGGCCTGAGTCAGCGGCCACGGGCCTTTCTGAAGGTTGGGGGGGTGAGCGTCCGGGGGCTGTTGTGCACCCCGCCTCCACCAGGAGAGCCCCTCTCCCTGGCCACGGCATTTCTCTCTGCTCAAAGCATCACACATCCCAGATCAGGACTTGGGGAAAAATTGCTTTCAACGCGCACGTTTAAGTTCCCTCACAGGAAGGGAGGAAGACGGCTGTAAACGGGAGGACGGGGTGGAAGTCTGTGGCTGCGTCTCTCTGTGCGGTGCTCGGATGCTGTCGGGTGGCTGCTGATGGGTGTTTCTGAGTTGTTTCCTGCATCCTCTCCTCCTCTCCCTCCAGGGACCAAACGCTGCTTGCTGACTGACGCCTCAGGTGCACCATGTCCACCGCGGGAGTCGCTGCCCAGGAGATCCGCGTCCCGCTGAAGGCGTTTCTGCACGATGGCCAGGCCCTGGGGAGCCTGAACGCGTGCTGGGGCCGCCGCCGGGAGCTGGGGAAGTAAGTGCGGGCCGGGTGCGTGGGCCTCTGCGTGCGGAAGAAACACGGGCGTCAGGGGGGCTGGTCACTGTGGTCTCTGACCAAGATGTCTTTGCTGCATTTCAGTAACTTTCTAAACATCCACCCGATCACCATGGCCTACAATCTGAAGTCGACCACGCAGGCGCACCTGACCTCTCTCGGTAGGTGTCCTGCAAATCCCAGAGGGCGGCCGGGAGGGGAGGTGGCCCCTGGGGAGGGGGAGGGGGCGGGGGGTGCTATCTTGTCCTCCAGCTTTGCTCTTTAAAAAAGAGGCAACAACCTGAACCATTCCAGCAATAGTGTGACCCCTAGTGGCGGCAGGTCTGACGGTGACCTGTTCCTCCCACACTCAGTCCCCACTAACCCTGTGTGTGGAAGGTCAGGAAGTCGTCGGTCCAGCCTCGCACAGGACCTGCTGGCTCTCGCCGTGCGGAGGCCTGTGTGAGGGCACAGGAGTGGGGATGTTGTCAGGAACTCAGGAAGGCGCGCAGCACACCACAGGGCCCTTGTCCTGTGGACATCCTGTTCCTTAGATTTTTGCCAGGAGCTGCTGTCACCCTGCAAGCTGCCACCCTGGTGGCGTGACCGGGTGCCAGCAGAGGGCTCCCCCTTATCTCAGCCCCACCCAGTGCCGAGCGCTGTCGCGTCTCCTGTGACCTGGTGCTGCGGGTGGTATTCATGGAAATTATATGCTGCTCATCTTCTGCGAATTGTGCACATGTCACAGAACCTGCCTGCGTGTGTGGGCGTGTGCCCTGCACATGTCGGGGAGATAGAAGAGATAGTCTGTTCTTTGAATCAGATCATGTGCGTTAACAATCTTCAGGCCCTAATTACAGCTGTGGGGCGGCACGGTGTCCGTGGCCTGTGCCTGGGGTTCAGGCGGCAGCGGCGGGGTAGGGTGGGGGGGGCAGGCAGTGGGCCGTCCCCACGCGCAGGAGCCCTGCTCGTCCTTCGCTAACCCCCATCCTTTGCAGGGTG